CTCAAGGCCGGGCGAGCCCCGGGCTCGCATCGCCGTGGGACAGCCCCTGGTTGGCTTTTCCCTGCGGGAGAAGCCGGTGCCGCCTGTAGCCCGTGTCACGAGCGGGGATTTCTCTGGCATTTTGGGCCTTTTGTCCCAGAGTATGTGGCAGGTAAGGCCTGGCAATTTAATACCTAGCAGTTATTTACTTTTATTTGAATTATTCTTGCCTTTTTGTTATTCTGTTTGTTAATAAACTGTTGGAGGTTTTTTCAGTTTCCTCTGTTAACCTTCATTTCCTGTTGGTGGAAAGAGATTATTGGAACCCTGTAGAGGGGACAACACTCACCCCAGAGTGTCCTCTTTTAAATCGTCTCTCAAGCTGAGACACCTACAAGTGCTTGGAATGTGGAATGAGCTCCAGCCAGAGCTCCCACCTGATCCGGCACCAGGAGATCCAAAGCAAGGAACATCCCTGCTGGGGCTTGGGATGTGGGAAGAGCTTCAGGAAGATCTCCCACCGCATCAAGGACCACAAGATCCACACCGGGGAGAGGCCCTACAGGTTTGGGGGATGCAGGAAGGGCTTCTGACAGAGCTCAGCCTCGTCCCAACAGCAACGGAGGCGCCACTAAGGGAAGACATGTGAGTGCCCTGAGTTCAGGAAGAGCTTCGTGTGCTGCTCCAGCTCCATCCCCCATGGGAGGATCCGTGTTAGATGACCCCCAGTGACCCCCTTTGGGCAGAGCCCTGGTCATCTGTGATCCTGGTGATCTGTGTTCCATGGGAAGAAGGTGTTGGAGAGATTTCTTTCCCTTCTCCTTGTGCTGCTGTGATTTGGTTGGTAATAAATTCCGTCCCTGTGCCCAGGCTGGGTTTGTTGTGCCCATGATGGTGCTCAGGGCAGAATCCCTCCCATTTCTTCTCAGCTTCTGGGCCTTCCCTTGTATTTCCTCTCCCTGTGCCATTGCAGAGGGCAGGGATGGACCAGTTTTGGTGGCTCCCTACATTCTGGCAGGACCAGCCCAGCTCCAGGGTTCTGAGGGGCTTGTGAGGCTCCCCTGTTTGTGGGACATTCCGGCTGGAGGAGGATGTACCCCCTTGCTGCAGCCCCAGCCCTCAGGCAGCGCTCAGCCAAGCACAGAATGCCCTCACCTGGGGCCTCATTTATGGGCCCACTGAGCCCCTGGACATCTCCCTCCCCATTCTGGGGTGCATCCGAGATCTTGGATATCTAGGACCCAATTTTTTGGGATGTATTGGGTTTGTATGGACTGGTTGTGGTAGTGGGGTGGGCTTTGAGAGAAGCTATGGAAGCTTCCTCCATGTCCAGTAGAGCCAATCCCTGGTGGTTCTAAAGATGGAGGTGCTGGATGCAGAGATCCCCCCACAGGCCCTGGAGCAGCTCCCTGGCACAGTCTGAGAGGAGGCTGTGACCCCGTGGGATCCCCGTGGCCAGAGGGCCTTGCTGGAGCTGCCTGTCCTGGCAGGACTGACCCTGTGGCACAGTGACCCCCGGGCTGCAGCAGGGTAAGGGGGTGCTGCCCGTGGGATGGGCTCACATCTGAGCCGGGCAGTGATGGGGTTTGGGTTTCTCTGGGAGTTTTTGTCCCATTTGTCACCCGGAAAGACGCCGGGAGCAGCAGGGGGTGACAGCCACGGGTGATTGGGATGACAAAGGGCTGGTTGCTGGCTCTGGCACAGCCCTGAAATCGTTTGGGGGAGCGCAGGGGCCCAGGGCTCGGGCAGTCTGGGGTGTCGGGCGCTTCGCTCCTGGATTTTCCTGCCCGTGCCCGCAGCTCCTGGGCCATAGAGAGGGGCCCGAGCATGTCCCCTCATAACCTCCCTGGGAATCACCCCAGAGCCCTCAGCCTTCCTTGTGACCGTCCCCGCTGCCTCATGTCCGTCCCAGCGGCTCCCCTGGCTCTCCCAGTCCATTCCCAGTCACTCCCAGTGGCCCCGCGTGTCCATCTCAGCCGCGCGCGGTGCTGTGGCCCCTCAGCCAATCAGAGTGCGGCTCTCTGATGACTCATCAGTTGCCGGGCAGACCCGCAGCCCCTAGTGGCCCGCGCTGGACTCGGCCTCCCGGTGCCGCGCACGCCATTCCCAGTTCCGCCCAATGTCGCCCCAGGCCCCCCCAGTGTCCACAAACTCCCTCCCAGTCCCTTTCATCTCATTCCCAGTACAATACCAGTCCATTCCCAGAACTTCTCATTTCACTCCCAGACCTTAACCTTGGCTCTCAGTGCTCCACAGTTCTCGCAGTGCACTCCCAGTCCCTCTCAAGGCCATTCCACCCCTCTCCTTTCTCTCCCAGTTTTCACCAACTGATCCCAGTGTGTCGCCTCTCTCTCCCAGTTTCCCCCAGCTGATCCCAGTGTGTCCCCAAATTCTCCCAGTACCCCCCAGCGTGTCCATCTCGCTGGCGCCCCCCTCTGCCCGGCCGCCTGCTCTGCTCCGTGATGGATTTCTACCCTGCTGCCATCCAGGTGAGGTGGTTCCAGGCCCAGCAGGAGCTCTCGGAGCACGTGGTGGCCACCGAAGTGGTCCCCAACGGGGACTGGACCTACCAGCTGCTTGTGCTGCTGGAAACCCCCCCGGCGCGGGCTCAGCTACAGCTGCCAGGTGGAGCACGTCAGCCTGGAGCAGCCCCTGAGGCGGCACTGGGGCACGGCCCGGCCCCCGCAGCACCGGGGGCAGCGGGGGAGGCACTGGGGAGCCTGAGAAGGAACGGGAGGGATTCTGCCCTGAGCACCAGCACAGGCACAACAGACCCAGCCAGGGCACACGGAGGGAATTTATTACTAACCAAATCACAGCAGCACAAGGAGAAGGGAAAGAAATCTCCAACACCTTCCCTCCACCCAACAGGGATAATCAGGATCATGGATCACTAGGGCTCTGCCCAAATGGGGTCACTGGGGATCATCCAACGTGGATGCTCCATGGGGAGTGGAGCTGGAGCAGCGCACAAAGCTCTTCCCACACTTGGGGCACTCCCAGGGCTTCTTCCCAGTGCGGAGGCGCCCGTTCAGGAGGATGCAGCTGCGCTTGAAGCCCTTCCCACAGTCGGGGCAGCAGAAGGGCTTCTCCTCCCTGTGAATGCGCTGATGCAGGAGGAGACGGGATGGCCTCAGAAACCTCTTCCCACACTGAGGACACTCGAAGGGCCTCTCCCCAGCGTGCAGCATCTGGTGTTCCTTCAGGCTGGAGCTCCGCACGAAGCTCTTCCCACATTCCTGGCAGGTGTGGGGCCGTTCCCCAGTGTGGATCTTGCTGTGGCTGATGAGGTTGCAGCTCTTGCTGAAGCCCTTCCCACATTCCCCACACTTGTAGGGCCTTTCCCCTGTGTGGATCACCTGGTGCTGCCTCAGATGGGAGCTGTACTTGAAACCCTTCCCACATTCCAAGCACTTGTGTGGCCTCTCTCCAGCCTGAGGCTTCTCCACCAGCTCTGAGCTCTGGCTGGACCTCCGGCCGCCTTCCTGGCTCAAGGGGGCTCTTTCCTCCTCAGAGCTCCCTGGGCTGGGTTTGCAGCCCCTCCTCATGTGGGATCTCTGGGGCTTTTCCTTCTCCATCTGTCCACAGCTTGGGAATGACAAATCCTGGTTTGGGGGAAAAAAACAAGGGGTGAGTGCCTTGGGCTGGGGGTTTCTCCTGCAGAGGACTATTGCTGGAAGTCTCCAGGCTTTTGAGTTCAAAAAAATCTGCAAAGCACCAAGATATAGGTCCCAAAATGACCCTTATAGGAGATCTGCCCCTCTTGTCTCTTCAATCTGGGGTTTGGTGGTTTCTCTTCCTTGAGCTGATGGGAGTCCCGTGGCTCCTGGAGTTCCCCCTCTCTGAAGTCTTGCATACTGATGACCCAGGGGATTTTGAGGGTCCCAGAGGTCTGTTCTCCCCTGATTCTCTGTCCCAGGATTCTACAGATCCCAGGGTCCCCACACTCCCGGCCCTTCCCTCCCCCCTTCAGGCTGCTGGGTCTCACCCAAGTCTGGAACCACCCCTCTCACCTTCTCCCACTCCAGGGGTCTTGAGGTTCCACTCCACTGCTCTTCTGGGAGGGTCCCCCCAGCTGATGTCCTCCTCCTACCAGAACCTGGTGATTGCCATGAGGACCCCTTAATATTCCCAAAAGGAGGATCAGCTTTGGGGTCCTGCAGGATCCATATATACCCACAAAAAACCAAACCCTCTCAGGGACCACCAAGATATTTGGGTCTTGTTTCTGGAATCTGCCAACTCCAAACACTTCCCCCAGAAAAACCCCTCTGGAGGACTCCCTGATACATTTGGGGTGAGCTCCCCCACCCAGTCACCAGCAGGGTGGAAACTTGTGCTTCTCCTTCTGCTCCTCTTCCTGCTCCTCCTTCTCCTCTCCCCCTCCCCTCCTCCTCCGTGACCAACCCAGATCCCCCTTTCCCACCCCCCTCTGCCCCACAGCTGAAAAAGCATCACCGGCTGCTGGGTGGGGGGAACCAGCCCAAGGAGCTCCCCAAGGATGGACAGGGAGTTTGGGGAACCCCCAGTACGGATCCATCCCCTCCCACAGCCCTGGGGAATCGCTCCAGGGATTGAGTGATGGGGACACAAAGGGAACACCATGGAACCCCTTTCCTGCTGTCCCCCCTCCTGTCATCCACCTCTCCTATCCTTTGTCTATCATCCCCTCTAAATCCCAGCTCCCCTCTGGCTCAGTTTAGGGCTGACCCTCCCCTGTCCCTGGCAGTTTTAGTGTCCTAAATGCCCTTTTATGGCTTCTCCCTCCTTCTCCTATCATATTGAAAAGAATGAGATGAAAGTGTCTTTACGAACAGATGGTGTGAATCTCCTTTGAGGTAGATAAGGATGTAACAGGAGAAATCATCAGTTTCAGAAAATGTTATTAATCAACAGGAAATGCTGCTCAGCCAAGGTCCTGCTAAATTCCTGAACTTTGTGAAGGAGAACAAAGATTTAACATAGCCATGAATATTGTATTTTATACAAAAGGGGACAATGTTGAGTTTGCACATTCTCCCAGAGGTACTTACGGACGTGGACATGCAGAGGGGCAATAAGGGAAAGTCGAGAAGTGATGTGGACAACAGGGGATGGATGGTGTTGGTGTGCTGGGAAGAGACTGGGTGAAGGGGAGTGTGTAGCAGTATGATTAAGGCAAGAAGCTGCAGGAGGAAATGCATGGATTTCTACTTCCTGCTAATTGTGATTATCATTACTGGGAAGGGATTCGATGGCTAATGTGGAAATACAGATTTGTATTCTAAAAGGTCAAACAGAGGCTAATGCTGTACCTTTGTGTCAGATGAGTGGCAAGGCCTGTGCTAAAGTGAACCCTGAAGTGTGGGCAGCCCCAGGAAAATACAAACAATTTAATATGGAGCCTCTCCAAAGTACTTTGCAGCAACCAGGACAAGAGGTGTTTAAAAGAAACACCCTATTCCAAGGGTGAGGAGGAAGGGCGGGCTCACAGCCTGGTATTGAGTCCCTGTTAAAGGCAGGGCTTTTGGAGCCAGGGATGTCTCCCTACAACACTCCTATTCTGCCAGTCAACAACCTGGATGGATTGACAGGAGGAGGAAACACAGAATTTTCAAGTGTTAAAATGAAGATTAACTGAGGATGCTGCCTAGGGCCTTCCAGACAGGGAAAAAGAATTTAAATTGTATGTTAAACAAGGCCGTGCCAAAGGAATTCTTGTGTTAAAATGTTTAACACAGTGGCCAGAGTGGCCTCATTGTCTGCAGAATGGTGCAGACAGAGCTTTCATGAGAACTGAGGCCTGAAAACTGATGACAGCAGGAACTCTTATTGTTTAAGTCTGGCATCAAGATAAAGGTTTGACAACCAAAAGAGCCTCTAAATGCATGAGCAGGGCACGGTCAGCCCTCAGCCTGGCCTCAAGGGCTCTGAAGCCCCACTGATTTGCACTTCCCGCCCGCAGCAGGAGGATGGGAGGCCGCCCCTGAGCCTGCCCTGAAGGCAACGCAGCAGCAGCCAGGGCTCCACAGCGGGCCAAGCCCCTGTGCCTGCCCACAGATCCTCGCCTGGAATCCTCTGCAATCCTGGCCACCCTCCTCTGCCATCTCCAGCCACTGGGGCCAAGCCTTGCTGCCACTGCTGCAGCTTCAGCGCTGCCTGGGCCTGCACTGCCACAGCTGCTGGGGAACACCAGGGCACAATTCCACTCTGGGGCTCACTGACACCCACACTCTGGGCTGCCTGCCATTGCACTGCTGCAAAATGTACCGAGTTTGGTTCTTTGAAATCTTATTCCTCTGCTCAGGCTTGGTTTGTCTTTGCCTTGGGGAAAGGAATTTTAAAGGGTTTTTTTTTTTAAGGGATGTTACCACTCAACAGAGATAAGCTTAACATATTAATAGACTGGGAACAGCCCAACAGACACCCACAGAGATAACGACCAGCAACAAAACATCAACATTGCCCAGCAGCAAACAGCAACCAACAGCTACCCCAGACACTGCCCCCGGCAGAGCTGGAGACACCTGGGCTGGAAAAGGCTGAGAAGGAAATCCAGGAGTGTGGAGACCGAATTAACTCCAGAGGGGAAGAAATCCCGGTCCTATAGGAAACCAAACTTGGAACTCGGCAACTTGGAAGCCATGAACAATAAACAATTTCAATGGGTTTTGGATGGTAAAAACTTAAGGATAAATCCAGTAAAACCCACGTGTCATGGAATGATTTTTCTCTATACAGCCGGGCTATATGCGGATGAAATTATTTCTGTTGCACATCCTGGACAGAATCAATTAATGCCTTGATTCTCTAACACTAGAAATGTTGTTGAAGAATTTTGGTTCTTCTTGCAGTTTTGGTGAAAAGACACGATTAGAACGTTTTTTCTTAATAATCCTACTTTTATATTGCCAGTTAGATTAGGGGTGTTGGGCCAGGGGTGTGAGAGTCAGTTTTTAGTCATAGGAGAAGTAGAAAAAATCTTTATGGCTTTGGATTTTTTTGTGTATGTGTGCGTGTGGCTGTTGTGATGGCAAAATTTAGGTATGGGCTCTTCGATATTCAAATTTAGGCCTCATTTTTAAAAACTAGAAGAACTTTAAAGGTGACCCTTAAACTGGTAAAAAGTTAATATTGTATTGTTAAAAAAAAAGTAGCTTTTAGGGGGGCCACATGTGAGTCACAGAATGGCTTCCCTGGAAGTGAAGCTTCATTCCAGGCAGCCTGCAGAGGAGCTTTAGAAATGCAAATGAACACTGCTGGGCAAAGCCTGGACAATGCACCTGGGTCTCTTGCCCGGGGCAGGAATTGGGCTGATTCCCTCTGCCCCTCACCCCAAGCTCTGCCTGCTGGCACTGATGGAATTTGCACAACTAAAGGCAGAGCTCAAGGGGAGGATATCTGACCCTGCAACAGAAACGGGTGAAGCTGCAAAGGGAAACAGCACATGGAGAATGTTGGGAAAACTTCACTATAAATAAATGGGGGGGAATCATCCCTCTGCCCACTCCAACATGTGCTGTCACTGACTATGTTATATAGGGTGTATTAGAGCACTGGGGATTTTTTGCTAACACAACTTCAGGGAAATCAATTGGGAATCCAAGTATTTGATGATTCAATTAGAGAAAAGCAGTCAATTGATGCAGCCCTGGCTGGAAGGAGCACCCAAAAATGGGGAAAAGATGAAAGGCCACCAGAACAAATCCTACAACACCATGGACCAGCCCCTGGGAACCCGAACCAATTCATATCAGAAGCCACAGAACCTATTTCTCATTTCAATGGCATCATTAGATTACAAGCTGCCCTCGGAATAACCAACCAGACAGCTCCAGCTCCTGACCTTCCTGCTGAGGAATCGACTGAAATGAGGAACACAACACTTAACCATGGGATGGGATCAGATCATCTGTTAGCAGAAGGAGAAGGAGTTTGTGGAAAATTAAATGACTCAAACTGCTGTTGGCAAATAGATGACAAAGGAAAAGTAGAGAAACAGATAACAAAGGAAACAAGAAAGCAGCTCATGTACTGGTCCAAACGTGGAAAGGATGGAAATGGGACACGGTTTCGTCATTCCCTGGCAGACCATGGGTTAAACGAATACTGTTTCCCCTCTGATGTGCTACAGCAACTCTCATCTTTTTACCATGGGCACAGGTGGACATGGGCATGGATAGAGATGTTGGGGACAATGACAGGGATGGAAACATGGTGCGGAGACAGCCATGGGTGAGGACATGGTGGGACATGGCCAGCGACATGTGGGGACATGGCCATTGCCGGTTCCATGGGGAGAACTTGCAGGGGATGTGGGGGATTCTGGGTTTGAGGGAGTTGAGGGTTCCTGGGAGGGACCTGGGGCTTGCTGAGGCCTTTGGGGACCCCAGGCCGAGTAGCTCTGCTGTGCTGGGAGACCCAGGGGCAGGTTTTGGGGCAGCTGCTCAAGGA